GAGCTTCCCTGCTGACGATAGCTTGCATGTGCATGTGCCAATCACGCAACCCCGACTTGATTGCCAACTTCTATAAACTGAGGCTGGCCTCTGAGCTGAAGCCGAAGGTCGATGAGCTCGAGGATAAGAATAGGGCCTTGCTGAAGTTTCAGGAGGATGCGGTTCTTGATGCTGGGACGCCACCCTCCCGGTTGCTTGGATCATAGGGGGTTTAGCGAGGAAATGTGGGTGCCTTATATACAATGCATGCATATCTGAGGGCCACCAAGCAAGCGCTCCTGGCCACTTATGCACAATGCACTCGACTGGACTTGGCTATCAATGCTATGATGGTGCGAGCGAGGCATGTGTATGGCTTGCATCTGATTTGCAATTGGCATGCTGTGACATTATTCACTGGCAGGTCCCATGCGAAGCCCGCTCCAAAGCGCAAGGACCCTGCTGCCAAGAGCTCAGCTAGGCCTAAGAAGCGGGCCGCCCCGGCTGCTGCAAAGAGTGCCCCGAAAAGGAGGCGCTAGTGAGTTTACGTGATGCGCCAGTGGCTGGATGTCTGCTTGATAGTATATGTAGGGGTCTTAACTAACAGGTTCATGTAATACTATAAGCTAGCTTAAAGGGCTATATATAGGTGCAGTGCAGGCCTTACCACAGGTGCGGAGTGATGCTTTTGTGCAGAAATCACACAAGTGATGTGCTTTAATTCTTTAGCTGTATATACACACATACCTAAATGGTACATTGTGTGCTAATTGGATGACCATCTGTTGCATCTAGGGAACATCGATGCAGGAAAAATGAATGCCAGTGCTTCGGAAGTTTGTGCAATGCACTAAAGTGGTACATGTACATGCTAGCATATTCCTGCAGCCAGGTCCTGGTGGATCCCAGATTCCAGCCCTGAACCGCTTGGTGGGTGGAAGCTCGACCAGAAAGATGCCAAAGTGCAATCCTTAAGTCCCATCCATACAACCCTGAAACCCTTGCTCTTAAGCTATATCTGCAGAATGCAACGATTGACAATTTTAAATAACCTGAAAGTATGTACCCAACCATTTTATAACTCACCCCTAGACCCTCTGACCTTAAGGCTAGCTTCTGCCAATCCTTGCTTCACAGTTCTCATAAGGAGCTGGCTCCACCCGTGAACAAGAAGATCGTGAGCTCGACCTGGCTGTTGGCACCGAGATTGTATCGAAATATCTTAATGGGGCATCTTTGTTTGCACGCTTTGGTCAGGCTTCCTAGGTTGTGCTTGCAGATTTGCAGATCACTTCTATTGGTGCTTGGTAAGCTCAGGCTGAAACAGCGAAAGGAGCTGCAGATATGGCAAACTTGGTGTACAAGATCGGTGGTAGTGAACGAAGCCTGGCTTAAACTAGCTTACATGCATGCACCTTGGCAGTTGAAACCCCTTGCAAGCATGAACCTTAGGAGAACTGGACCTCCTGTATCAAATCGCTGCTACTGGTCAAAGCAAAACCAACACTTGCAGAAACCTGCATCGACTGATCCATCGGCAGGGCATGACAATCCCGGTTGAACTGAGCTTCGTTGAGATTCCGGTTCGGAAAAGGAGGCCATTGGTCAAGAAGATCAATGTTTGGTACCCAGTCATTTATCCAAGCGCTTGGGCTGCCTTCCTATTGAAAGAATACAGCTTTCTTGTTCTGGGTGGGGTGGATCTACAAGAGATGCAACAATGGCAGCAGCTGTTGTCTGACTTCTGGTCCGAGCACAAGCTGTATGATCCTGGCCATGACATGCATGCACCCATGGGGCCTCCACCCACCCACACAGTTCCTATCTACATTCATGGTGACGAAGGCCGGGGGAAGTATAAACTTCCGATAATGGTGGAGGGGTGGCAGCCATGCATCTCCTATCGAGGAACAAGCTTCAAGAACAGCAGTGGGCATCTTTGGTTTATATTGCATATTATCAATTTATTTGCATGTGATCAAATCAATGTGGCTCCCAACTTAGCTAAGGCACACCTACTGCACTCGTTTTCTCTTCACTGTGCTGCCTGCTGAACTTTACTGGGGCGACTCCACCCTGAACAAGTTGAACAAAGCCTTCGCAGAAGACCTCATGAATCTCTTTACAAAGGGAGTCACTGTTTAAAGCTGCAATAGCCAGGTTGCCTCCTGCTTGGAGGCCCTTTTGACTTAGTAAGTCTACTTAGTATCCCCTAGAAACCCCATTATAATCTCCATAACCCACCTTACTAACCCTACTTACTAAGTCAAAAGGGCCTCCAAGTGATGTTGCGGCTGCATGCTGTATTCCTCGCCTCGGTGGAGGAACTGTGCATCTAAGGTTTCAACTCCGAGAGGGCCGATCACTTTGCACTTTGCAATGGTGGGCCTCAAAGGTGATTGGGTGTACTTGAGGAAGGCAGCTAAGGGAGAGCCGGGGAGAGACTGGTGCATTCTAGCATACCAATGTGCTGTTACATGCATGACTATAGGCTATGGCTTTGAAGACTGGATGGCAGTGCAAGCGCAAGTGCCACAAATGCAGCAGTCAAGACTCTTGGTTTGTGCAATTCATAGTATGCTTGCAACCCATAAATTAATGATTAGCTTAACTGCTACTAAGTGGGGCATAGGCCTATATATATCTGTGTGTGTGTTTTAGAGATATAGCCTCATGATCATGCGGTCAGGAGTGGTATAACTTCGCAAAGGATGCCCCATGGCGCAACGAGGATGAGGCCGAGACTCCTTTCGCTGACGACAAATCATCGCCGTTCTGGGATGTGTCTGGGATGTCGGATCCACAACGAGCTCTGGTGGATCCAGCCCACACGTGGCACATTGGGTGGCCTGGTTTCAAATTAATACGAAGTCCATACTATCTAGACTCACTCTTTTCACAGGCTCTGCTTCTAGATGTATATGTGCAACTAAGAGTGGGACGAGACTTTGTGGTTTCGGGCCTGGTCTTGCTCTGCAAACTTGGCCTCGTTCGTGGAAGAGGACTACAGAGCCGTCTCACAACTGCATACAGTCACTATGCTGCTTGGTGCCATGAGAACAAAAAGTCGACCAACATCAGATCCTTTACACTCTCAGCCTTCAAGATTGCAAAGATGCTTGCATGGATCATAAGATTAGAACTTTCCCAGCTAACTAATTTAAGTTGATATTTGTTTTATAAATTTAATTCGCTTCCACAATTTGCAATGACAGACCTTGCAAGGAGCCAGAAAAACTATCCAACAGCAACTGGTGGAAGGGGGGCTGATACTGCTATTATGACTTCTTGGTTGGAGCACTATATGACAACAATGGATCCTTCAGCTGCAATTTTAAGCTAGCTCAGGGTGGACTTGGCTCATCCAGCGATGCTGTCTTGTGAGGTATGCTCTGATGAACTCTTCTCGATGCTCTTTTACGTGGTGCAATGTGTCAACACGTACTTCCGAATCCTGCACCACCGTGGCTTGTGGCTGGAGCCCTCTGAAAGTGCAACGGCAGCTGAAGCGTGCCATGAGATGACAGCCACGTGGTTGCACACTATAGCTATTTAAAATTTTGTAATATTCTACTAAGCCGGTTATTGGCTATTATTTATGGGGCCCACTCAGGCAGGATACGTCTGCCTTGCGAAAGCATGTTGGTCAAGAAAATTTCTGCTGTTCCGAGTCCGGCCAAAGATTCACATGCAAGCCCACTTTGGGATTCTTGGTCTATCCTAAACCGGTCATGCTATGTTGGCTACCTATAAGTTAATGCTGTGCCCAGGGACACTCTGCACTTTTGTGCAAGACGGGGCATACGAGCAATGAATCCGATGAGCCGGGAGCCTTATACCTACAGCTAGATGCATGCATCCGCTGGAGATGTGAGTTGGTAAGATCTGTGCATATCTGTGCTAAGATGCCGCATGCTGGGCAGACGAAGACTTCATAGGCAGGATTTCTCGTGTCGCCCGAAAGTCTGGCACACATGCCTTATCGTGCGCTATTCGTACGATGCAGAAGATGTTGGGTGCTTACAAAACCCAGCTCGAGAAGCATGACCGGCGCTTGAAGTAAAAAAGCTGGGCATCTGGCTGCTTCCCCCGTCGTCCATGATCCCGGAGCATCATTCACATCAGTGGGGCCAGAAGAGGAACGAGCAATTATTACAAAGCGTGCGATTATCTTCCAAACGTGCTAAAACCTATCTAAGTGTACATAAAATCCCTGAACCAAACTAGCCGAGCAGAAAAGTAGAGCGGGCAAGAATAAATGCTCGAAGGGTTGTCCAGGTAGTTACTATAGTTCCTATAAACCATCAACAAGTATGGATAATTTGAGATAGAAGGGGCGGAATGAATCGTATCTGCTCGTGAGCAAGGAGGCAGAAACGGGATGGGTCGGCTCGGAGTGGATGGCTGTTTTCATGCCAGAGCTGCCGATCCAAAAAAGTGTGCCATCCATGGGTTTGGTACCGCTTGAAGAAGTGCGACTTCTTCACTGAAAAAGCGAACAAATACAGCGAAGATATCAAGAACTTGATGGATGAGTATGCCCTGGTATACGTCAAGGCTCGGCACGACGACTATCACCACCAGAGCTTTAGCGTCGGGAACTGGCTAATGCCTCTGTGTTTGCTGCTGTTACATGACAGTCTGCACCTTGAATGGGGACATTTGTCCAGAGGTTTCGGGTATAGGGTTTAGGGTTATGGGGTTTAGGGTCGGGCAGTTCCCAGTTGGAATTTGGATAGCGAGGTGTCAAGGTTCAGCGCCTCAGCATGCATGTTTTTGGGTTGAAGTCAACTCCAACTAGCATCCCCATAACCCCAGTTTAGTTCTGTTTGCTGAACCTCTTGACCCCTCAACCCTATTCCCCTAAACCTGTTCCCCAAATCTAAGTGCGTCAACCTTACAACCCTGCATCCTAGACCCTGAACCTTCCTGAACCCTAAGTCCTAAATGATAAACCCTTCTCCCTAAACCCTAAATCCTACGCCCTAAACCCTAAACCCTACGTCCTTAGCCTGTGGGAGGTCGTTGAGGTGAACAAGCGCGTGTCCACCTGCAAGGAGCGGACGGGATTACCGTTACGGTTTCTGGGGCGGTAAAGTCCAATTAAGCGGGCTACCTGGACCCCCAAAGTGTGTAGAATAATAGCCTTTTATAGGTACTGGGTCATTGTTTTAATTACCTACTTTGGGGGGGTTTAGGGAGGTTCCTTAGCAGCATCCTTTTGCGCTTTTGCATTTGGGGTTCCCTTCTTTTGGTCCAGAAGAGTACGGAAACCAAGGGTATCCTTGTATTGAGGGGATACTCAGCGTCTAAGGGCGGCCTCCACAGCTGGAACAGTGCTCCTGAAGTGCATGCTTCTATGCGGGCGCTGTAAGGGGGTTCTTCGAATAGGGTTTTGTTGCAAGCTTAGAGTGTAGTTCTATTAAGGAACAGCCAGGATGTTACCACTATTCACCTCAATATTAAGAGTGATCTGCGCAGTTCAGGTTTGGGGTTTTCGTGGTTGATATCGTCAGGCTTGGGATTCAGGGGATAAGGGTCCCAAAGCAAAACTGCATCGTCTGATGGCTTTTTCCTGGGCTCGGTGGCAACTGTACCACTTACCACTCCAGTATTCAATATGTCTTGAACACATGCAGGCATCCAGGGCTAATTACAGGCGGGATGTGCACCGGCTTCGTCATTCGACACTGCTAAGCCCCACAACAACCCTAATCGTGAAGTTAACCCTCCAGCGATCTTTTAGTTCAGCCCCAAACCCCCTGAACCAAAATTACCTAAACCCTAGAAACCCTAATTAAACCCGCAACACGAAGGAAGGCAACCCGTGCTATGCAGCATGCGTGGGCCGCCTCCTGGATGGAGACAGGCGAGGTTCTTTCAGGGATTTGGGCTTTCCACTCTTTACTGCATGCTTTAGTACAGGCGGATAGATAGATGCCCATAGGCTCCATAGTAGTTCCTTCGGTGGATTACTTTATAGGGTTCTCAGTATGAATCACAAAAGGAACTACTATGGAGCCTCTAGATAGATAGATAGATAGATAGATAAGGATGTTCGTCTCCGAGTCTTCGTGGAAAGATACCTTGGGGTCCCAAGTGGAGCAGCGGGGTAGAAGAAGTTTAGGGTTTGGGGGTTCAGGGCTTAGGGGTTTAGGGTTTAGGGTTTAGGGTAGGGTTTGGGGTTTAGGGCACTAAGCGTTAGTGTTTTTTTTCTTAAGTTTTAGGTGTCGGGTTTCAGGGTTCAAGAGTCGTTGCTGGCGATCTCTACTGTAACAGCTCCGTGGGGGTTTATTCACTGAGGGCTCGGTGATTGCTCCCGAGCGTTGCGAAGAAACGGTCCTTCAGTATTGGAGTTGGGTTCGACAGGATATGTCAATGTAGTTGTAGTGGACCTATCGGTAGGGACAGTGTCTTGACTTATGCCGACCCCGATGTTAAGTCCTGAAGCAAACCCCCAGCTTTGCATCTATCAACGTTGACTCTACTTTACAGCTCTGGATATGTGACAGTATTTCACCCTCGTGGTCCGTCGACTGACGTTGATACTACTACTAGAACCCTAAACCCAAACCCTAAAACTAAACCAATACTAATATGAAGTCATCACTAAAGCCTGTGTTGACGGGCTTTTGTAGGTTGAGTTGAGGGTTTCTGGGTTCCGAGTGGTCGGTCTGGGGAGTCTTAGGTCCATCAGATCCGGAAGTAAGTGTAGGGTTTCGGGTTTCGGAACTGTTGCCAGATCTCATGCAGATTCCGGGCTCTGGCAGTTGCAGTAGCAAGGACAAAGCGTCATTACCCCAAGACCCCAGAGTAGTTCCTTTTTGGGGTTCATATATAGAAACCTTTAAGGTAACACCAAAAAGGAACTACTTTGGGGCCTATGGGTATTTACCAAGGCCAGCACCGCCACCACCGCCATCACCCCTCTTATCAACGGAACACAGGTTCCGGCTCCGAAGGCTAACCGTTTAGGGTTTAGGGGTTTAGGGTTTAGAATTAATTTCAGTGTTGTATTAACTAATATGAATCTTCATATTAGTATTAGTATTAGTACTATCAGGGTTTCAAAACTTTCTTAACGCTCAAGGAGACTCCAGGTTACAGGTCCGGTCTTCAGACAACCTACCGGCAAGCCTCACCCCTCAGGCACGAGCCCTTGTTAAAAAGTCACTTGTAGCTAAATCCCCCAAAAACCTTCGAGCCCTGAACCCGTAACCATTAAGCCTTAAAGCCCAGAACTCTCAAGACCAAAACCTCAAAATCCAAACCCGAAACCCTAAAACCTAAACCCCTAAACCTGAAGCCCCTTAGCCCCTAAACCCTAAAGACCAAAATCTCAACTTAGCAGGTGTGAGGACCATGCGCCTCTAGACTGTCAAGGCGCCGTCTGTAGCATCTCGCGTTGAGCTTTGCAGTTTCAGTGGCTTAGTATAAGGGTCCAGTACGTACCCAAATAGTTTTCCTCTCAGGGTTCCTATTTGGGTACCATAAAGTTTAGGGTTTAGGGTTTAATGGGTCCAAGTACATACTTTGGCCTTATAAAGTATTCCCTACAAAATACAAGAGGTACATTGGGCCCCAAAGTATATACTTATATACTATTAGGGCACACGGATGCTCAGGATTAGGGTTGAGGGTTTATGGGTTCAGGGCTTTAGGCTTTAGGTGGTTAGAGACTATGGACTGTGGGTAGTGGTTCTTTGCGTGGTTTAAGTTCCACACCTCAACTTGTAGGGGTTGCACTTGCCAAAGCTGGGGGCGTTCTCTAAGTAGGCTGCCAGCCTTAAACCGCAAATCGCCTAAATGCGAAAACACCATCGCCGACCTGCAGCCCACAACCTGCCAGACCAAAGCCTACGCACAAACCCTAAACCCTAAAGCTCAAACCCTAAACCCCTACACCCTAAACGGATCAATTCTACCTTCCCCCCTCCCCCCCAACCCGAAGCCCAACGACCCTCCCCCCTACACAGCTAAGCTTTCGGCTCAAGTGTTCCCTGGCATTTTCAGAAACTTGGTGGGATCCCGTAGATCGACCCCAACAAAAGCAGGATCCTACGGTTGATGATATAAATCCTGCATTACCCATAATAAGGAATGTACCATAATTCCCATAGTTTAGGGTCCTTAAGGTCATGCAGGATTTATGTCATGAACCGTATCCCCCAAAGAAGGAGACCCTCAGGTTCTGAACATCTCTCTTTAGGGTTCAGGGCTCCAGTAGTTTTGGTGTTGGGGTTTAGGAGTTGAGGGTATAGGGTTCGGGGTTAGGGTGTGGATTTGGAGTTTGGGGTTTAGGGTTTTGAGTTTAGGGTTTTGGGTTCACGGTTCTGGGCTTGCTCCCTTGCCGGTGCAATTTGCGCACGTCTCTGGGTCACACTGCCGGAATCATACTCGTTGATCTCCATCGGCCCTACCCTATGGGCCAAAGTACCAAATTATCATATACTCTTCAAAACAGTAATTATCGTGAACCCGAGTACCCGATTATTGAGTCCTTCGGACCCTTAGGGCTAGATCCTAACCTAAGCCTAAGCCTGATATTCACTCTTAAAGCCAACCTCCAAACTGAAAAGGCGGCTACGTGATTCAGTGGACTGGGCGAACGAAGGAGAAGCCAGGGCAAGCGATAGGTGCGCCAGGGTCAAGCCGTGACCTTCGGAACTAGGGTTTCTCATCTAGGGTCTCTCATGTCACTGTAAGAGAGGCTTGGAAGAGTCCCTAATGTTGTAGGTGCTTTTTGAGGTGGCAGAAGGGATTGGGAGGATTTTGCGGGGGTGGTTATAGGCTTAAAGCTATCTTCACACGCCACTCTTCAGGGTCCCTGCTGCAATCTCAAGGAATGGTCGTCGCCCCAAGCCTTAAACCCACAAACCGTGAAACCAGAAACCCCTAAACCCCTAAACCTTAACCCCCAAACCCTAAACCCCTAAACCCCTGAGCCTTCACCGCTAGACCCTAAACCCCTAAACCCTAAGCCTTAAGATCTACAGCCGGGGGTTTAGACTACAGTAAACTCCATAAAGTTGGAAACCGGATTAAGGCCAAATAGTGCTGGGATTCCCTATACATTACTCTTAAGGATTGAGGCTATTGGGTTTCCAACTTTTTGGCTTCTACTGCAGCATCTTGATGCTCGGAGTATGGGGGCCTATGTCTCAACAGGAATTTACCCCAAGGGTCCAAAGGACCCAGAAATTAGGTACTTGGTTTTAGGATAGTAGTTATATAGCTTAGGGTTTTGGAGAGTATATGATTATTGGGTACTTGGACCTTTGGGGTTACCTTGAGGTTCTATGAAGCCCAAGGCCCCTGAAGGCCCCTCTAAAGGATCGACCCTAGACTCTTTTTTTGCCTTTAGAATGCTGCCATGATCCGTATGGAACACCTTCAGAACTTGTTTGGCTGTTCGTGTGTTTGGGATTGCTGCAAAGAGTATGATAAACTCGCACCTTGATTAGTATCGCATGATCGTCATAAGTTTCTCAACATACTTACCTACCATGTTTCTATCCAAAGCCTAAGTATCTAGTCTCGGGTTCGGTTCCGGTGGACCCGCAGGGATAGGATAATCGGATACATGATTCTGTGGGTCGGCTTGCTGAGCGAGATCCGGGTCGCAGCCCCTAATCCCTGAACCCTAAAACAAACTAAACCCTAAAAACTCTTTAAACCCTAGACACTATGAAGCCCTAAACCTTAAAGCACTCCAAGCCATATAGAACTCAAAACACTAAAAAACCCTAAACCCTGAACCTTGAAGCCTAAACCCTAAAAACCCCACAACCCTAAACCCTAAGTCCCAAAATCCCTAAACCGTAAACCCTAAACATCCCTGAACCCTAAATCCTACACCACAAAACCCCCAAACCCTAAACCCTAATCCCTAAAAAAACCCAAATCCCTAAAGCCTCAACCCTGAGCCAGGCAAGCGATGCATGATCAACCCGGCCGATCCCAGGACATGCACCGAGAAAAAGGCCGGGCCTGCCCTTTGGGGTTCCTTTAAGTAATCTATAGGGTTGCTGTGAGGAATCCTCCTGTGGGGTCCTGGAGGTCGGGAGGGTGTGTGGTTAGGGTTGGGGTTTAGGGTTTTTGGGGTTTATGGTTAGGCTTGGGGTTCAGGGTTTTTGGGGTTGATGGTTTTGGATTTGCGGTTTAGGGTTTAATTAGGGTTTACTCACTGGTTCCTTTTCAGGGATCCATAGGGCTCCTTTACGGGATCTTTTAGGTTCCTTTAAGGGATCTATAGGGTTCCTTGAAGAGGTCGATAGGGTTCCTTTAAGGGATGTATAGGGTTCCTTTCAGCAAGTAGGGTTCTTTCAAAGGTTTCTGCAAGGAGTACTATATAGGGGCCTTGATCATATTATGCTAACCATGACGACATGAAGGAACCTTAATGGAGCACTTTTCTAGTTCTTATGGCTCTACTGTTACGGTCCGTCTTGGGGTCACCCCGAACTCTTGGCCGCAATACTTGAACTTGGGGAATCGAGCCGGGAGACGCAGGCAGGCACCCCGTATGGGAGTCAGGGGTACCTTATTTTGGGGTCCTGATTAAATAACGATCCTAGTATTTAGGGTACTATATTAATTAGGGTCCCCAATGTCCGGAAACTCCCATATCCAGGGAAACATGCAACTCAAGCACTGAACCCTAAAGCGCTCAAGCCGACAGCCCTATGGCCCTGCAGCAGCTTCAGACTATGGGGGCTCATCCATACATTTACATGAGAGAGTACAAGTACACCCATGTGCAAACGAGTAGGAATGTAGTTCTTTGAGTCACATACGAAGATATTGCCATGCATGGTTGTCTTGTTTTGTTCTTCTTGCCCTGTTGTGCTGCAATCTTCGGACGAGATTGAGCTCTTCGATGCTGTCGGAAGCCTCCAACCAAACGGCCCTACACTTTTGAGTTCGCGATCCGAAAGGACGACCTCGGATGTGTAGCCATCCTCTCCGAGGACGAGGAGGACTCTTGCTGTCGCGCACAGACTCAACATTCGTTGAAAGCTTCGTTTCAATACCGAACATACCAATGGAATACAGCTTTCATAGCTTGCAAGCTTTTATAAAACACTACGAAACTCGTATACAAGTTAACATGCAAAGCCCTGACACCGTCGCCGGAAACCAAGAGTCAAGTCGAAGACGGAAATTTGGGCGCAGTCTCCACGAAGGGAGGCTGATGCAGAGAAAAAGCTAGGCTTGTTTATGCTCTTCAGCTGGCAAGGCTTTGAATCAGCAAGGATGTGGAAGAGCGCATGTTGCATAGCGCAGTCTGCAACAAATGTGTCGTACTCATGCGTACTCAGTGGCCAAGCATCGTAAGCTTGCATGAATGTATTCATGGGTGGCTGCATGTCTGCCTTCTTGGCACATTCGTGCCACTGAGCATAGCATGCATGGTCATTTCTTGGTTCATGCTCACGTATCTTTAGACAACCGGAACAAAGGGGACACGGTTGATGATGTAGATCCTGCATTACCGACAATAAGGAATATACCATAATTCGCACAGTTTAGGGTCCTTAAGGTAATGCAGGATGTATATCATCAACCGCAGGACAAGTAGCCTCTCTGGATTCTGGATTGAATCGCATGCGTTTGTATAAGGAGTACATCGGTGCTTGTGTTTCGGGTTTAGGGTTTAGGGATGAGTTTGAACGAAGTGTTTGCACTTGTTGTTTGTCTACTTCACTCATGGCCCATGTACCTCTACAGTATCTACTTCGGCACTAACATACCCAAGTAAGACAACAGTTGTAATCTTCAAGACGAGGGCATAGACTCTACAGGTATGTCTGCCCCTCGGGCATTTTGTGCATGGGTTTCTGCCAGTGTCAGAGGCTACGTGTTTCTGTGGGGGTAGTAGCTGTCACCTCGAAGCGGAAGCATCACAGACATTGGATGGCAAATATCATGCAAACTATCATTGCACAACGAAAGATTTCTCATGTCACGTTGACTTCTAGCGCATGCTGCAGGTTTGTGTCTGTTATGGTTTACGGTATGGTGTTCCCCGCTCTGACTCGGCTTCGTTCTAAATCTAAACCTCTGGTTACACAGGGCACCGGCACTGGGCTTCCTGATTGAAGGCTTGCATGGTTTATAGTAGTATAGCATTATAGTATTAAGGTAATATAGTATTATAGTATGATAGTATGATAGTATGATAGTATTACCAGTTCAGACGGCGTCGGGCCTGTCCGTGCGTTCTCACATGGAGGGTATCGCAAAGTAGAGGCCACCCTAGGGGGGTTTAGGGTTCGCCCTAAACCCAAAACCCTAAACCCTTAAACCGTTACTAAACCCTCCAACCGTGTTGGGCTTGGGTTCGGGTCAACAGGAACTTCAGTGAGGGAGGCTTGGGGGCTCAGGGTGCTGTGCTTGGCATCTCTGATCCGGAGGCTCCCGAGTTGTATATGGGTGGTTGCCGGTGCCCAAAAAGAGACCATAATTTTGACAACCACCCATATGGGTCATCATATGGAAGCCTTAACAATCTCCTATACTATATTTTTTTGGGGGGGGGGTCCTTGTTATAAGTATAGTATAATACACCCCAAAACCCTGATCTAATTACTAAGGCCCCCAAATATTGTGTAAGTCATACCTGCACAAGCCTTCTTTGTACGAAATTCTTACGTGGTGTGAATCGAAAGCTGGCCGCAGAGGTCAGAACACAGTTTGAGGTTTCGTACTCGGATTTGGTATAGCATTGATATAGGTTAGTATGTTGGGGAGTTTATGATAATTAGGTAATTGGAGCAGTAGGGCAACATGTTGTTTCGCAACACACACGAGGCAAGTGTCCAAAGAGGACTTCAAAAACAGCCCGGTCAGCAGTTAGGATTGACAATGACCCTGGTGCCGCTTTGCAGGAGACTTACTTCAAGTGATCTTCCGTCGCGGCGAGTCTGAGCCATGTACATTTGTTAGTCTGATTGTGCTCTGATCGCCTGGCTGTAGCATCACTCACGGTAACCGCTCTCAAGGCTATGCACTGAATATATGTATATATACATATGTATATATATATATGTAAATAAATATGTATATATATATATATACACACATTCTGTATATACATATTTTGTACATATCCATACACATACTTATACATATGTATGTAGATGTAGATGTAGGCAATATTAGACGAGACGGGCTAATTACCCCGTTTCCAAATCCCGGGGGAGTCCCTTACTGCCCTCTCATCTACTTGGGGTGCCGTTTTCACGTCTACGTTCGCATTCGGACGCCTCCCCCCCTCCGCCCCACAACCGTAAGCCCATTTGTTTTCGGAAACTTCCATTGACTTGCTGCGCTCAAAGACGCTGCATATACACAGCTCGGGTCGGCAGACTTACATTTTGATGCTGGCGTTTTGACTTGGGGTTTGGAGAAAGTCATGGCTTCAGGATATACTTGGTGCTATTAGGTCTATGCTGCGGCTGGGTTCACAGGGTCTAAAAGGATAGCGAGTCTCTTTGGTAACGAGGGATGCTCTTTGCCTTCCCAGGTATGGGATATGGCTAGTGACATTTGCACGAGCCTCACATGCCCATCTTGGATTGTTATACTGGCTCTGGGTTGTCTGAGACGAACCACACAAGCTACCGCGGGAAAATGCAGTCAGATCCAGTGCGCAACCGCCCACCAGCGGTGAACATTGTTATCTTGGCAGAGGCCATCGGACTCCCCCCGTCCAGGGGGAAAGCTTCTGGAGATAAGCCCGCCCGGGAGTGCAAACGAACAAACGAGTTAATGAATGAGTTAAATCAATGAAATGACGAACGAGTGAATGAATGAATGCACCAATCAACGAATGCAGGGATCTGTGTGTTCGTATCTCTATGTACGTATGGACGTAGGTAGGTAGGTGTGTGGGTATGCATGTACGTGTGTGTGTGTGTGTGTAGGTGTGTCCAGCCTACGCATGCACAAATGCATGCATGTATGAAGGTATGTATGTGCATATACATGTATGTACGGTATGTGACCATGCGCTGAAACAAGCATAATAAAGTTGGAATGGTGTACTTAAACTTCTGTACGTTTAAGGCAAATTAAGGTTTTGAGCTGTGATCTGCAGAGTTCTGAGTTTGAAGACTTCGGGTTCAGTTTTGGGGTTCGAAGCCTAAACCCTAAGCCCTAAACCCCTAAACCCTTAAACCCCTAAACCCTAAACCGTGGTTTAGGTAGAAGCCGAATCCGAAACAATCTCTGAAACTGGTCAGCGGCTTGCAGGTTCAGGCTTTCGGTATAGGTGCGACTACCATAAAATGGCCAGATCCTAACAACGCAGCAACCCGGCTTCGAAAAAGAATGTTGTGCAAGCAGTAGAGAAGCTTGTTAGCAACCCTTGACATCTTGAAAGGCCACGATGATCTAGCGAAGCCACGAAGGGCTGGGCTCGGCTGTATGCACGCAGAAGACCAGAGGCATCTTCATCGGAGGAGCAGCGGTTGCAAAAATACAGTTGGCACGGCGTGTGTTAAGATGTTAGGCTAGGGCTAAGTTTAGGGTTTAGCGTTTGTGTTAGGTTTTTCCTTCTCAAGGATGTAAGGGTTTAGTGTTTCGGGGTGACCTTGATCCCTTACCTGTTCTTCACGAGAACGGTGGTAGCTGAGGATTTGATTGAGGGTTTAGAGTATAAGGACTGCTTTGAGACCGGAACCTTCTGAGATCTTGGAAGTGGTCATCAGTTAATTGGTCTCTCTGGTACTGGAATTTTGCTATAAGTCAATGAGTCAACATGCCAAATTCACGATGGTTTGCCAGCTTCTGTTGGGAAACTTTCATTGTCTGCTGAGGCTGTAAACCCTGAGTGAACCACATGCATGCATGCATGACCTGCCAGGCTGCATGCGATGGCCTCTCCTCGCGGCATGCTGCGAGGTTTTGAGTCTGCGACATGTGCGCTTGCAAGAAGCTTTTGCTCGTTCGACGGCAGAGGGATACCGATACTTTCTGTGTCTCAAGGGTAGGTAGGAGTGCTCATCGCACACAGGGCTTGTAGGGCTTGTGCTTGAGTACTTGAGTGTAACACAACGACCGAGCGTGACGATGCTGCGGACAAAAAAACCACACTGGGCCCGTGAGCAGTCTTGAAGACCTCGTGCCTGCCTGGAGGCTCCATAGTGGTTCCTCTTTGCGGTTTTTATATAGAATCCTATAAGGTAGTCCCAACAAGGAGCTACTATGGAGCGTATGGGTGGAGACCTAGTGGGTTCCCCAACAGCGTTGTTCCGTGAGTTGTTTCTTGAACTCGCAAGACTTGTCAGATCCCAGTCGCGTTTCTAGCTCCACACTCTGCACTTCGGGTCGCCATGCCAAAAGTGCTTGAAGAAATGAGTTTTGATCTGGTATCCCATGTGCTGCTTATGCTCCTGTACAAGTCTGAAAGGAAGCAAGAACAGATAAGATCTTGGCATCATTGGCATAGGTTACCTCATATACATTACATGCATGACGTACATTACATGCATAACACACATTACATACATTACATTATGTACATACATACATGCATACGTACATGCGTACATTTATACATGCATACATGCATGAAATCAAGCATGCATGCTAAACAAGCTTATACATGCGTGCATGCATGTATGTATGAATGCATGGTTATGCCTGGATGTATGCATGTATGTATGTACGCATGTATGCAAGTACGTATGTATGCATGTCATGTATGTAACGTATGTACTGTATGTATTGTATGTAATGCACGTACTGTTCGCAATGTATGCATGTCTGTATGCATGTACTTATCAATGTATGTATGTATGTATGCATGCATGCATTTTTCTGTGTTTTTGTGCGTGTGTGCTTGCATATGCATGTATGTGTTTATGCTGCCTAGCAACAACTACTGGAACTTCAGCAGATCGTCGATTCTTGAGTTAAGGGCTTGTGCTTCTTGCTTCAGAGATGCATGAGACCTTGGCAACATGCCCAGTATGACCACCAGCACTGCACACATGTAAGTGTACACATACACTCACATGTATGTTATTTGTATGTAGCTTCTGAAAGCATTGCTCGTCTTTCCTAAACCTATGTATCGACTGGTCTGGGAGTCTCGAACTGCGTAGACAGGTAGCATGTAGCATCCTAAATCCGCAGAATTTTCGGAACAATAACAAGCTAAAGCGCGGCAATACTAGACCCCATAACCGTGAATCTGCTGCTGTTTAAAGAAAGCCGCCTCTCCTCCATGTCCGAAGCGGGAGGAGAACCTTGCTCAGCTCCGCGTCATCGACAAGCGCGAAGAGGCGTAGGGATGTGGGATGATGTGGGGTCCGGCGATTTTTCTATGTATGTAGTGATGTACATGCAACTAGACATGTGTATGTGTTTGTATTCGCTTATGCTGTAATCATACATCTCCTAGGTCTCCCAGTTCTGTCATGCTGCAGATGCCGAAACCTCATGTCCGTTTTCGTCCGGGAGGGAAGACTGGTCAATCGGGGCTGTTCTAAGATATTTGAACGTATCGGGCTCAGGGCTTTGGGAAAGTACTGGGTTTGCTTCTTCCGTGTATGGAGTTTAGGTTTGGGGTGTCTCCAGCGTATCCTTTCGCGTTGACAGCGACTAGGCATAACCAGTGCGCCGTCGCCGCCGAACCCTAAGCCCTAAGCTCCGAATCCAGGTGCATCACCTCATAAACAATACAGAACCCCGTTTCTGACAGGTCCTACAGGTTTGGGTTCAGTCTGTGGATACACCTGGATGTTTGAGTGCCATGTTCGTCCGCCATGCAGGGGATGAGAGTGCACAACTTGGATGTTCTGGGTTTCGGTCTTTACTTTGCCCTTTTTGAACTTTATGGTTTGCCGGCCTGTAGAGTCGGGAGGGCTCAAGGTTTCGGGTTTGAGGGTTCAGGGTGTTGGCTTGAGGGTTTCGGGTTGGAGGCGTTCGGACATGGTGTTTAGCACATGGTGCCTGAACGGATTGAGGTAAATCTTAGCGGCTAGCGGGCTCTGGGCTTGCATTTCAGTGCTGAGGCTTGTAACACTGCTTCGAGTATTTCTGCCCCTCATATTGAATCCGGCATCAACCCTAAACTAACTCCACAGACAAAATCTCAAGCACTGAGCCCTATGACTATGACAACCCCCTTCCCTGAACCTTGCAACACCCTGGACTCTGTAAAGCTGTAAAAACCCTAAAACATGAAACCCTACGATAGGTATCCTTCAACCCGAAAGCACAATTCCGAAGCCTTGAACCGTATCTACCTCAACACTGTTCTTGTTTCGCGGGCGGCCTAGCGTAAGTCCTGAGTCTGTCGAATTCCTGCTTGAATTTACTCTCGCTTCAGGGTTGAGGCTTTGGAGTACTAGCTTGTAGTACTTGCGTTTCTTGCGTTTCTTAGTTTTGGGGATGTCGTGGAGGGGAGGTGAGGTTTTGAGGTTCAGAATTTCGGCTTGAGGATTTTGGACTGCGGGCTTCAATGCCATTATGCTTTTCGGGCTTACGGTCTATAGTTTACTAGAGCTTCGGTTTAGCATTGCTTACTTAAATTATTGAGGTTAAGGATTTAGGTTCAGGGTTTCCAGGATAAACGATAAACTTGCCTTGTGGGTCTCGTGCCAGCACTCATTCCGAAACGCTAAGCCTGCTTCATGTACGCTGTAAACTCAAGTTCCTTAAACCCTACTGTAATCCCTAATCGCTAAACCGTAAGTCTGCACCTGAAGCTACCAATGTTCTCAAGAGCCACAGGTCCCAAACCTAACGAAGATGAACCCCCAAGCCCTCCATCCCTTTGAAGGTCAAGGAGTTGGTTAGATAAGCGCCGTGAGAGCTGACTTTACAGATTTCGGCGCAGACCCCACAGAGTAGGATGCTTTTTCCTAAAGTCGCCTGAAGAAGATATCGTAGTGCC